CCAAGCGCAAGATCCGCAACAACCTGCGAGTGACAAAGAGCTGCCGTTCGGCCAATGCCCAGGTGTCGGTGTCTCATTTCTCGGGGAGGTGAGGTCATGCGGTGCCAGGAGTGACAAATGGATTGACCACAGACGGGAACTGATTGAGCTCGAAAAACTGTGAGCATGCACTCTTTTGAGCTTGCAAGAATGGGAAATTGCTGACAGATCATGTCAGATTTAACTCTATGCAAATGTGAATCCTCGAAGTTGCACAATAATGGACCCATGGAGAGGCTGGGCAGGCATAAGCGTCATACAATAATCCGTTTGCTGACTGTTTTCCATAGCCATTAGTTATAGTGGTGGGTAGTTAAAGGGGCGGCTGGGGAGTAGAACAGTGGTTTTTACATCAGAACGTCAACCGTTTTTTGCTCACGCCTGTGGTAACATGTTTTGTCGAAAAAACACACGACCAACAGAATGCATGGTGGGACATGTCGGCTGGAGCCATTCTGCATGGCCCAACGACCGATCGCTGTCAAAGCTCCGTTTTCCACGGTGCTTTCACGGTGCGACCGTTGTGAGAGCTTCACAACCCAAAGAGATATGAGATATCCACCTCACCATGCGGCAAACACCACCAAACACTGCACGACCCAGCCCCGCTCATCAGTCTGTTCCAGTCCCGCCTCAGGACGCGCACGACCCGCATGAAGCCCAGGTTCCCCTGGCTTCCAGCCGCACTGTCGTCCCCAACCTCGATGTTGGCAATCGGGTGTGGGCAATCGGCTCATGAGGTGACCCTGAGTTCACCAACCTAGGACCCTGCTCCCCAGGAAAATGAAATTGAGATTCTTGCTCTCAACCAGCTTTGGGTCATGGATTTTGGTTCCTTCCCAATGAACCACCCGTACATATTCGCACCCATGCAAACAGAGAGTGAACTCAAAATTCCATCGGCTCGAATCAGAGTCACCTGTGGCAATGAAAAACGCCATTACCAGAGGGCAACAAGGTTCTTTAGTTGTTAAAATGGTCGACTGTCCATCTGTTTCAGGATGGTTCTAGACCAAGGAACCTAAGGATACAGATTGATGTTCAAAAGCTAAGGTCCTAAGTCCTAATAAGGTCCACTGGCACAAAGTCCAGACAAGCCACCTGATGGTACAGAGCAGGAATTAGCTGTGTTGGAGGGGTATGTATCTGAGGTGAAAAGCTCTTCCGAAAATGCCGAGTCTTAGAGGAACGTCCATCACTTCCATCTGACTTCTCCTGGAGACTTCTCCTGGAGAGTAGGGTTGAAGTTTCAGTTTCGCCCCGCCTACAACTGCCAAAAGTCTCCCCAACCAAAAGCCTCAACCAACGGCGAACTCTGACTCACAAACAGCCCGTACAGAAACCAACCCGTAAGCCATGCCTTTCTTGGTCGAACACCTAGAGATGCATGAGATGAAATCCAGGCAATTTGGCGCCGCGTGTTCTTTTGCGTTGTATGGACCCACGAACCAACTTTCCCGATAGTTTCCTCCTCCACAGAACCGGTGGATGTTCTTCCTGCGGCCACTGAAACTGCCAGCGTGATGATCTCATCGAAGAGCTGAAGCCTTGGGACACAGGACATGGGGAAACCTGGTTTCCTTTCAAACAAATCCGGGCCCGAAAACCATAGGCTTTGCTTCGGGTCACCGTAGTGAGGGGGGTCGGGTGGGCCGTGTCCGACCCCGGCCCAAAAAAGAACCCATGGAACCGAACCATTCCCTGACATGGAAGCCCTCCATCTACCCACCCCATGTCCCAAAAAGGAATGTCCCTTGTCCCAATTCTCCCAAGCAAACCAACCCCACTTCGAGCTGCGGCCGTTTCCCCTGCGGGGGGAAACGGATGAGACAGCGTCTACGAGTAGATAGGTGCACTCGTCCCACCACCGCGTCCTCTAGTGGATGTCCAACATGTCCTCTAGGCCAAGGAACGAGACCACCACGGTGTCAAACAACGCCCACCTGCGGCCATGTCTTCAGCGATTCATCGCGCGCGATGTGAAAATCGCGCTGAGTCAAAGGTCGAAAGTGGAACTGCTGGTCTGGGAGGCTGTTCATCTTATCTGCCATAATTTTGGCCAGGCGACCAAATAAAGGACATGTCTTGATTGAGGGTGTCGAGGCTCACAAGGGATCCGTCGCCAGGCTCACCAGGGATCCGTCGGATCAACAAACCTCTCCAAACTTGGACTTCCTCCCTCGGTGACAAAGAGGGCCCTAAACGGGCCAGGCCAGAAGAAAGGAGTTTGGGCTCAAAAGTACGAGACAAGTCTTGGACCTTGCACCCAACCTGGTGGCTACCACAGGTCTTGCAGCTACGACAGGTCTATATAGTTTTGTTGGACTGCTGAGTGACCACGTCGGGGCCTGGGTGACTGTCCCCATTGAAAAGGTGCACAATCCTTTCTTTGACACTTGCCCCAACCACCATGCTACCCACAAGAAGAACAGCAGTTGGGAAGACTGAAAAAAGAACAGATACTTTCTTCTACCATGCAAGGGCCATTTGGGTTTGGTCAAAAGTATAACTTGTGAGAAACTCTTCAGCAAACGCTCTGGCCATCACCCTCACGGACTGACCTGACGACAACACTCCCCAGGCAAACCGCATGACAGATCTGGTCGGCCAGATGTCTCAAACTTCGCATGGTTCGCATGAAAACACATCTAGTATATAAGTCTGCTCACCGACCGTCCGACCCGTCGCAAGGTTGCGCCGGTCCTGTCGCCTCGTCTACGAAGCGTCTCCACTCCCGAAACACCCTGGGCAACCCTCACTTCCAGTCAGGGCCACAGTAGAATCGGCGAAAGCCTGCATCTCTGCAGGTCTTCACAACGGTTTCTTCCCAGACAGTTCGGTGTGAAACCGTGCAAAAAGGTAACAGGTGAATCGGTTTTCGGCGAAGGCCTACCCACTGGTTTGAGGATTTCCTACCATCGCCTCTACAGTAACAGGTGTTTGGTGTGACATCTTAGGGGTTGGTCAAGCTGTTAGAGGTGGTCACCAAAGGGCTTGGTCATGGATTATTCTTTGGATGGTTGATCGCCTCTAACCGGGTACAAAGCACGTGTGGTCATGCATTCAAAAACGTCTTCGCATGCTCTGTGACATCTTTGACCTGTCATCATCGTCTCTGTGGAAAAAACATGCCAAACAAAAGAAAGCTCTCCTCCTGCGGCGACAGGGCCCAGCGACCGCAACACTCGCGAACTCGGTCGCGAACTCGGTCACCGCCTAGGCCAACGATTCGCAGCAGCAACTCTCCGGTGAAGATCACTGCCTTGGTGAAGATGACGGATCCCTTTTGGCTTTGGAGCTGCGAGACCCAAAATCCACGTCCAGCCACCGCATGAGGTTTGATACCCCTAGTTCTATGCGATTCTATGCAAGATGATTTCAACGCTGACACAACAGGGGTGTGAAGTAACATTCTGTTTCCAGGATCATTAAAGCCGTCTCCAAAAGTGCATCCCCAGCCTCAAGGAGTTGCCTTTGAGAAGGTCCGGGTGGGTCCAGGCAGGGCCTCCATGGTCTGCAAGTCTTCTGGGTGGTCAGGGGCTTCACCTAGGCACCTCTCACACCGTGCGGCACCTCCGAACCTCCGAAGCCGTATTCCCAGTGCACCATGGTCAGTTCTTCAGGACCTCAAGCAAAAGAACCAAGTGTGAAGAGTTGCCAGTTCCTTTTTGGGCGAAAAGGACCCCTAGGAGGCATACACCGACACTCGGAGATCTGCCACTTCGATCCGTGAAAAACGAACTCACGGATCTCCCAGGCCGCCAAGGCACGAAGATCTTCTCGGAGACTCCAAAGCCTTCAGGCTCCTCAGGCGATGTCCGACACGCAGAGCTGCGTCCGAACTGACACGCCCGATGTCCGTGTAGAAGAGGTCACGATGGGGGGACATCGGACGCAGACATGCGCCCTCGGGCAGGATGTGAATGGATGTGATCCAGAATTGCTTCATGATGCTTCATCTGTGCATGATATCGTCCACAGTAAACAGACCCATGCTAGGATGAAATACCCAGAGATTCTAGCTAGCCCACATAAGTGCTCATGTGCTAGAGATGAATCCGCACCAAGCTCCCAGCGGGAACAGAGATGTTCCGCACATTCCAATCTGCCTGAATACCTCCCGGGTCGGAACTGCTGCGACGACATCCGGACACCGGACAGTCCGGTCCGCTCCAGGTGTGACGCACCCCCCCATGGGGCTGGATTCAACGAAATCCCTTTGATGGACAGACCGGTAAAAGGATCTTGTGGACTTCATCTCATCGCTAATACACGGAAAGCCTTCAGGTGAAGTTGTGAATCACTTGATGGACATGGCACCCCATGGCACCCCAAGACGCCAACGTATGTTTGAAAGTATGTTTTAATAGTTAGGAAATGATGTCAACGTATCGAATTGACACCAACAAACAGCTACACGCAGCTTTCCCACTTGTTGTCCTTCCAACACTTGCTGTGAAATGTGGCCGAAAGCAGCCATGTCCATGGTACTGTGGAGTATGTTAGTATGTCCTTCAAAAAAGATAAAACTGGTATCTCAAGCATCATCAAACTCATGAGAGTCCGGTCCCATGGTCTGGCTTCTTTGTTGCAAAGATCAGCTTTCGCCCTGGCAAGTGCAGTCATCTCCATCACACACTGACAGGCTGACAGGACCGGCCGACGCTTTTTGCGGAGTATGGATATACATGTTACATTATATATATATATATATGTATATGTATATATATTGAGATAAACTATTCCCGTCGAAGGTACGCATCGCAAAACTGCAAACGTGGTGTGCGGAGACAGTGATCGGCTATGCGGCGGGGTATGCGGCGGGGTGTGCGTCAGTAATGCAAAAACCGTGGTCGGGTATGCGGCCGGGTCTGCGTCAACTCGGGTTTCATTCATGAAATTTGAGCGTTTAAGTCAGGTTTGCCGCAGCACCCGCCGCTATAGTTTTCAACTTGACAACACTGTTCGCAACCTGTCGGACACCTCTTGGACACCTCTCAGAGACCTCGGAAACCTCTCGGGCACTTCTAGTGAACCACTCGGACACCTCTCGGAAACCTCTCGGACTTTGCACCAAAATATGTGAAACACATTGAATCTCTTCAACTATTCTCTTCTTAAACCTTGGTGTTGACGAGGTGTCCGAGTGGTGTCCGAAAGGTGTCCGAAAGGTGTCCGAGTGGTTTTCGAGATGTTTCCGAGAGGTGTGAACTTATAAGGTGAAACGCACACCTCGTCACATTCGTTTTCGCAATTTCTAGGTGGTACCAACGTGTTCAACCTGGACGCGCACCTGGACGCACACCTCGCCGCACACCTCGCCACACACTTTTCCACGATTCTGAGGTCTCGGGTGTCAGTTTGACCAGGTTTATTGAAACCCAACCTTGGAGGGGAAGTGGTGCGGTCAATATGTATATATATACATATATATATATATATGACTATTTACTGAAAGTATTTAGAGGTCTAAAATCACCCTTCCCTGTATAGATTCCCTGTTAAACCTCAACCTCATTTGAACCTCATGAACGAAACTCACTTGTTCCTTAGCTTCATTTCCACAGCATATGCAGTATTACTCTTGACTCTTGATACACAAAGTGTTCCCACCACCAGAACAACACCACAGCTAGACGGCCACAGCTTGCGCACCAATGATGATGGAGTTCAGGATGATGCAAGCTCCAATCATCATATCGAACCATTGCTGGGACTGGGCGCGGGCGAAGCCGGCGGGTCGGGTATCCTCAAGCGACGAAAGGTCGCACACCAGACCGATACGTGTTGGAAGTTGGAACATAAACGAAATTGACATGTTGAACTTGCACCCAGATCATGCATAGACACCCTGGGCCTAGTGTGTGCATCATTTTTTGGGGGGATCTCGTTGACCTCACCCCAGCTCCCAGAAATCTGCGCAGAAAGTTGAAAGGCTGGAAGGCAGCACAAAAAAGGCTATGCAGCAACGCGTTTCAGGGGAAACCACAAAGATTGCAACAAACCCACTCTCCGCTGAGAAGGGTGTGTCTTTTTTCAAAACTCCGTGTTCGTCGAAATGCGATCCAAATGGAGGAGGCCCAAACCAGAGGTGTCCTACTTTTTGCGGATGTGTCTTTGACTCTCTAAGAGCCATCATTTCTGTGAAGACAAAACAAACTTTGATGTTTGTTTGTGTCTCAGGATTGTAGTGCCTAGATTAGATCGTGCCAGGAGGGCCTGACCCACTACACCTTAATGTACAAACCGCTCATACTTGTTGGAATGGCATCATATTGTGAGGAGACTGCAACCAGAAGCCAACCAAGGCTCCCTTGGGTTACAGAAAAGTGGATATACCATCACATGTTCTTGCTCTCCAGTGGCTTCAGAACCACTAGAGTCACACCACCTCATTCGCCAACGGACCGGACTCCCAACGGACCGGAACACCGCCGCTGAAGCGGTGATCCGATGCTGGAAGGGACACCTCCCCCTGAACGAAGGACGCTTTTGGCCCCCACACCAACAACCAACGTGCTCGAGCCCTGATGCTTTTGGCCTCACGTGCGGTTTCGGCGGTCGGAGCCTCTGGCCAAAGGACCCCAAACAGCTGTAGCAGATACCAGATAGCTACTGGAGGGCCTCTGGGAGATCACTTCCCAAGAACATTATTTCTAGCACGAAGACCGCAGCACTGGCTGGTGACTTTCAGGCACCAGTTTGGCCACTGGGACGATGGCCGCAGAAAAAACCAAAGAAAAAAAGAACTGATCCGTCCCCACCAACTCAGCACACCGCCAGAAATAGGAATGTTTTTGCTGGTTTGGGATTAGCCCACCCACGCCTTGCAGAAGTCTCACAGTACCATGACCAGAGTACGACTTTGCAGTGTTGATGGACGACCATCCGCCACCCGCTCCCCACATATGGAGATGTCCCATGCTTGTATGAATTGGTAGTTCAAATGCTGAGCCCAGCGAGCCACTTAACCAGGGAGCCCCTCTATTTCTTGTTGCGAATCTCTGCAGGGTTCTTCCTACTCTAGATCACATCACACCCATATGAACCCCTCCAAGGCCCCGGCTGCTTCCCCGTCCTCCGCTAGGTAATCCTCCTCCTGAGAGGTTTAGACTTTAGACCGAGAAGATGTGGGTCCCAGCCAAGGTCCACTGGTGATCAAGCGTCAATGCGATCAGGGCACCAAAACAGATTGTAGCACCCCAAAACAAATGAAAAGTGCATCCCCTCCAAAAAGGCATTGAGCAGTCGTTGCTATTACAGCATTGATCTCTACAACTCTCTACAACCCTTTGTCATCATTGTGATTCAGCAGAGCTTGGGTCATCATGGAGTCGTGGGATGAAGTGACGCAATCTACAGCGCAGGCGTACTGTTTGGAACAAACCGACACCCATACAAAGCTGCCTTGTGCCTGAGCTCAACACATTCGATGGTGCACGTTCACGTTGGTCATCTTGAGATGCCAAAAACTCTAAATTGACCCATAATGGCCCATAGAACCACAAACACACACTTTGGAGAACCGGAATTCCCCTCCAATCTGTCCATGACCATCTTCCCTTATCCGTTTCAGCCGCATGCAGTTTCAGCCGCGCGTGCAATCTCAGCATGGCCTCTTCTTCCCGCACATCCTTCATGAATTCATCGGCCATCGCCTTCTTGTGGATGACACCTGCCACTGTTCCATGGACGATCAATAGAAAACATGCAGGGGATCTTGAGTCTATGTGAGACAGGTATAGTGGGAAAGAGAGAGAGAGAGAGACAGAGAGAGACAGAGAGAGAGAGAGAGACAGAGAGAGACGGAGAGAGACAGAGAGAGACAGAGAGAGAGAGAGAGAGAGACAGAGAGAGAAATAGAGAGAAATAGAGAGAAAGAGAGAATGAGAGACAAAGAGAGAGAGAGAGAGACAAAGAGAAATAGAGAGAAAGAGAGAAAGAGAGAATGAGAGACAAAGAGAAAGAGACAAAGAGAGACAAAAAGAGAGAGAGAGAGAAGGCAGGCAGGGGGAGGCAGGGAGGCAAGGAGGTAGGTAGGTAGGTAGGTAGGCAGGCAGGCAGGTAGGTAGGTAGGTCAGTTGGTGGGTGGGTAGGTAGGTAGGTAGATAGGCAGGCAGGGTAGGTAGGGTGATTGGATGGGGCGAGATGGGTGGAATGGAGTTGGGTGCGGCAGGTCCGCGAAAACTCAAACACGGCCTCTGCGGATGCGTTGAGGCGTCCCATCCGGCTGGTTGGCCTGCTCCTGGCGGACACGAAGGACAAGAAAACGACAACAAAACGGATCCATGGCCCTTGACCAAAGGGATGCCTCCGAATTCAAGGGGCGTTTTGGGGAACTCCACTGTACATGGGGAACACCTATGAGTTCGGGATGAAGCCGATCCGAACTGTTGACCCCGATGGTTCTGGAGATGGAAAGCTGGAAGGCCAAGTTACAAGAGTGTCCGTGGTCCATTTCCAGGAATCTCCAATGTCGTCGAGGATGACAGAGTGACATCCAGCCCAGTCGGGGTTTACGCCCCCTCCGGAGTCTGCAAACCTCTCCGGTTACAGTGAGACAACTGATGACTACAACAAGCTGAACATTACGCCCTCACAGGCATAGAAAAACAGCTCGACGAGTAAAAACTTAGAACATGCAGTTCCACGGTCATTTCCTCCTGAAATAAGCATAGTGAAGATCACTGAAGAAGAACTTGCAGTCAATGGCAATGTTTCTTCGTATATGAAGGTTCTTGAAGACCACTGCAGACTTGCAGGCTTCAAGGCCTGGTTCGTTATGGTCCTGGTCGGTACCCAGAACCTATATATGCTGAGTCTAGACTCAGCTCTCCGGCAATCATGCCACCCGCACATCAATGGCTTCAAGGTTCGACACCGGTACATTCGGTACCACCTCGGCGCTGTCAGCACAATCGAACGGGACGCGATGGCGGCACTACTTGGTCAGAGGCATTCTTTCTTGTGGAGCTCCGCTGAGAGCCAACTGCAAGTTGGGTGAAGGGCTTGATTGGCTTGATGTCACAAAAGCCACACATGGAAGGGACATTGGCACATGGGGACCTTGGGGACAAGGAAAACTTCCTCATCTCAAAACGTGTTCAGTCAACAGCATGGTCAACAGGCTTCAGACCCGAAGCTGTTGTTTCCCTAAGCAACCTTAACTTTCCTAAGCTGGGTGTTTTCCTAAGCTGTTTTGGCGTCCAAGCTACTTTCCAGGTTCCAAGCTTTGCTGTCACACTCCGGCACTCCGCAGAGCGCGACTCTGTGGTCCCAACAAAGGCTTCGCAGCTTCACACCATGTTCCTCTCATCTGATTATAAACTGTAGGCTACAAAAGGTGAAAAGATTCCGTAAGTATCCACTTTGCGGAACTTGCCAAAAAGTGTCCAGATAGGCCAGATAGGAGTGTACCAGACTCGTCTACTTTGTCAAGGTATTAAACATGGACCCCAGCATTTGGGACGCCTGAAGCCATCTTGGTCTTGAGGGCCTCTAGTCGGATTCCACCACAGAAAACCTGATGATCAAAATTGAGCATCCATGAGAAGCTGCAGCTTTCTTGCAGCATGGAAGCCATCTTGGGTCACCAATCATCAAAAATCTTGACCAGCCATCCATAATGATCCAAGGCTTCAAAAGCCGCTCAGGATCCCGGCACCCGACATCTCCTCCACCTGAAGCAAGAAAGGTTCAAGGTTTGTGGGAATTAGAGGCCAAATGTTGGCGACGGCACTGAAAGCCCTGCGACCCCCAGAATCCCGTGAAGTCTTCGGCCAGTAGTGCGACTTCAAAACTCCCGCCAGCCCAGGCCAGTTGCGAGTGATTGGAGGACGAACCTGCAACTCCTACAACTCCTACCTGTCCTACCTGTCCCATGAGACTGATGCCATGCCATGCCAGGTCCCAGCCTGACTGACCCCACCTTGCGGGCTTGCCACAAAGAAAGAACTACTGTACTAACGCACGGTGCACGCGGTCCGCATGTTGTCTCCCAGCCTCAGCCCCATCCGTCCAGGCTTGTGCACAGTGCGAAGCTCCTAGCGGTGGCGGTGGCTGCGAAGCAACCCACGTCATCAGCTTTTTGTTCCAAAGCAACAAAGGCATAAAAGTAGTGCTTTTTGTTCCAGGGGTGCGCCCTTCATCAGATCATCTCCAACCCTAATCTAGAGGTCCTCCATCTATATCATCTTTAGGTGCTGTGGGTCACTCATGAGGGTGTCAATCATGTTGTTGCTTTCCAGGTTTCCTTGTGAAGCATAGATCTAATATTCCTGTCAGCCTGTGTCACCCAGCATGAAAATGAATGTGTGTCAGAATGGGATCTGAGACTTGTCCACAAAATTCTGCCAAGCAAAAGGACAAGGACAAGTATCAAAGCCGGTGGATAGAAGCTTTCTCATTTGAAGAGTTCTTTCGTCACGCGCGGAGGGCCACGGTCCAAGCGGCTTCACGGCGTCATTTCACCCTTCTGAGGGTCCAGACGTGGAGCTTCAACAGGCCTAGAGGGCAACGAAAAGGCTCAGCCAATTCAACGAGGGTATACAGATCCCCAAATGAATAGTCTTGGGACCGTTTCTATCTATTTGGGGACCACTATACGCCATACGCTTGTAGAAATTTTACAGTAAAAGCTCAGGAAAGCAAGTAAGAAGTGCAGGTTTTTGGAACACTCCTGTCTTCAACCATGCTTTGGTGGAGTTCACAGCCTGTCTTCGGAAACCCGTCTTTAGGCCATGCGGGCCAGGTCCAAGCGCTTTTCTCAGCCAGGTCCCAGTTCCCATGCCATGCACGACCTGTAGCTTCTGATGGTCTCCGACCCAGGGCGATGGACGACCAGACTCCGGAGCATTGTGGTCTGATTCAGGACTCTCGGAAAGTTCTTGGTAACATCCCTGAGACCAGAGTCCAGTGAAAAAAATCTGGCAAATTGGACAAGAATCGAATCCCAATACAACCCTTGCTACCCAAACAACAACAGAAACAGAAACCATTTGGTCTCCTCAGCCGGAAAACTCACGGCAATTCTCCCGCAGCCAAACGACCAAGACCCGCGAATCCACTGGGCCGCCCCAACGACCCGCGAAGCTCTCCTGCGTCGACCAAGAGGCTGCAGCTGGCACTCGACCCACTTATAAAAGCAGATGGCTGGCCTATGATGTGGTCCCCATTCCTTGAAGATGGCTTTGACCCCCCGATGAAGAAATTCCAGCGGATCCTCTCATAGTTTCAAGTTTCATGTGTCCTATGAGTTTCGTTTGCCCACTGCGTCTAGATGGAGATGATACCGTTCCACTTTAGGAGTCACAGTGTCATCCTGTGTATCCACTCATTCTCAGTACCCGCATTCAACAGTCATCCGGAGCTCCTGACTTGAGGTTCAGCTGGGGTAGACTCTTTTGACTGCCTGAGAGGCTTCGCAGGCTTCGCACGAAGGTTGACCAAGGACACCCTTTGCGCTCGGAAAGTGACGCATCAAACATCAACTCAAATCAAATGATGTTTAACTTGAACGGTCTTCAACACCGGTCGTATGATTGGGCAAGTCGCATGTTTGTAGTCATGACGACCAGGATTGTAGGATTTCAACTGACAAGAACAGGAAGGACTGGATGACTGGAAGTGAACCCCGAATCGTCGATGCGTCTAGAGGCAACCGCCAAAGGCTCTCTTTGCGTTTCAAGGGATTCTCCTTTCCAAATACCAGGTGAGTCCCTTCGGTGTCCCACTCTGAAGTCATTGGGTCACTGCATGTTTCTGTTACATCGGACTTGGTTCTTCCAAGCAGCTCTGTGCTTTTCGCCCAAAAGCGGCCCGGTCTTCGTTGTCAGCAACGGATCCCACCCTCCGCCCCACATGTTTCAAGACGGAAAGTGGCGGCCACGTGGCGTGGCGACGCAGCACGATTCCTGCCCAGGCACTGGATTTCAACGCATCTTGATTCAACAGATTCTGCAGGAATTCCTGAAAACACGACGAGCGCGAGCGTTGGGGGGAGAAGTAAGGGAGGACCAAGACATCTAGAAGGTGGAACTCCAAAGAGCCATGTGAATGTTGACACGAACACAGGCAAGCTAGAGTCTTGTTGACCCCAACAAAACGAGTTGGCCGACCATCCCTTTGTACTTGTATATTCTTGGTGCGTCAAATGTTGATTAAGAAAGACTGGCAAGCCTCCTTAATGGACAAAATGTCCTGCCAACTCCGCGAACAGACCTCCTAAATCCTAGGGGTCGCAAGGTTTATGTCAATCAGCAAATCCTCGGCAAAAACTGAACCACAAACACGCCGACCAACGTGTCTTCTTGGCACAGCATCGTCCGAAGTGAGAAGTCCCACGTGCATCGTCCACCCGAGGTTTCCTTGGCTTCTCCCACACGCTGGAGGGTGATCGACAGGTCTCCTTGTGGTCACGCAAGGAGTTCTCTAAGGTAATGGAGGCCTCCACGATCTCCTGAGCCTGGCGCAAAAACGAGCGTGCGCGGTCAGTGAACACATGCGGTTAGGCCCGGCATGTGAAGGGATTTCCACAAAAAAACACATTTGCAAGGGGTCCTGCTCAACAAAGTTCACATATTTAAAATTAAAATTGTTTGCCCATGCTTTTCAGCGGAGAACTCACCGTTTCAAGTTGTGGATCTACCAGATCGTGCCCTTTCGGTTTGCATTCTGAGATGTTGGCTCGCCACACAAAAGAGTTCGTTTCTGACATCTCTCGAAATAGGCTAGAAGCAAAACTCGGGTTCCCTAAGTAACAGCAAAACTCCACCTATAACTGTGCCGTTTGGCGTCCGGCTGACAGCGTCCCGGGACCGGCGAAGTCCTTTGCCCTTGGGACCGGCCTTCCGGGAAATCGCCTGGCGACGCGCGGATTGAAGACGTGGCACCCAGCGGAACAAAGAATCCGGTGGGTAGTTTGCTCAGGAGAAAACCAATCTCCGCCCATCGCCCTTATGTTGGGTCACTTTCCAGTGCTACCATTCATATAGTTACTTGGCCGCATCGATCTGCATTGAGTAAAGGCACCACGCAACCACCAATGCAACCACCTCCAAATTCAGGCGCCTCCACCGACCGCTCTGCGAAATGCAGGCTCACATCCTGGGCCATCGGACCCGGTCGAACTGGAGGGTCGAACGACGCATCGTGCGGGGCTTTGGGAACGGACGCGGAACGGAGGTCGACGCTCGTCGAACGAGGAGGAGGAAAGCTCACACGACTCGACCAGGTTGGACGGCGCACCGAGGGAGTCGAGTTGTCGATGCAAGTCGCAGGGAGTCGACCGAGGGACTCCGACCACGACGCCCGAGACCGCCAGAACACGGCGCGCCTGAACGACGGAAACATGTTGCATGCTCATCATGCTCGCTGACTCAAAATGAACCCAAATGGACCGGAGAGCTCAAGCTAGGCTGGTAGACGGTCAAACCCAATGAAGAGTCAAAGCACCTGAAGGATCCTAAAGGTAGCATTCTGTTGGTTTGGGACGTTCAGCACCCAAGGCAACCATTTTCATCCACAGCACAGCCCAGCCGGCTGGTCTCCAGAATCTCCAGGCCTCATTGATTTGCTGCCGCAGCAAGTCGGTCTGTGCCTGGGCACGCGTGGTTAGCTTCGGATGGTTTTCGCGAATCAATCCCTCCAGTTTCGATGCGGGAAGCTGTGAAGCCGCTTCTCGTTCTTGGTGGTCCAACGAGGCAACAGTCCAACAGAAGTGGAGCAAGTGGAGCAAGTGGAGTACAAACATATCAATTACAGTATCCCATGCTACACAACAAGTTTATATAATTACAATACAATGTTGCAGTTTCTTGATGTTTCTTGTGTCTACATCTTCAGCCAAAACTACTGCCTGCACCCAACGACTCAAACGGCCCCCGAAACGGCCCCCAAACTGACCGTCCCACCTCCAGCTCCGACTTCAGGACGCGACGCATCGTTTGCTCCAGGCCCTGGTCACGAGGTCGATTGGTCAGGGATTCCGGTCGAATCCTCCCTCTCTCTCCCTCTCTCTCCCTCTCTCCCTCTCTCCCTCTCTCTCTCTCTCTCTCTCTCTCGCTCTCTTGGTGAAAAAATGGACAAGGGAGTGTTGATAGGTGTTGCACCAAAAAGATCAGGAAGACGAAGACGTTAGGGGGAACGAAGAAGACGTGCAGGGGAGTTCTTTTCGATCGACTGTGGCTCAAAGAAGACTGTTTCAAACAGCCACATCCACGTGGGTATGGGCCTGGGTCAATGACGAGCAAACAAACAATGTGTGTGAATCGTGTTTATAAGAATTTACTGATGAAACCTGTGGACTGTTTCGTGGACTGTTCATCTTAGGGTGTGAACTACAGGAAAACCGTGTTGGCCACACGTATGGTCGACAAACCACTGGCAACATGTGGACCACCAACCCAATGGACTAGGGCCCGGGGAGACTTCATATGAGGACTGGAACAGTGGGGATGGTCATGGCAGAAAAAGAGATGGTGGAAACGTCTTTGCAGGTTCAAGAACCCAAACACGATTTGGGTCGACCACGCAAGCAGGTGGCGTCTGGGCGGTGGTTCCACGGCAGCTGGCCAGAAACTGGTGAAGAAAGGAAAACAGGCGAAATGACGAGAAATTGATTTGCTCAGTAGAAAATTCCAGAGACAAAACCACAGTCTTTCTTGACAGGAACCACGCTGATTCCAAAACTCGATAAACCCAGATCTCTTGCTTCAGCGGGTACCCCGCAGGTGCCGTTTTGTCAGATCTAGATGTTGAGTTCCTGGCCATCGAAAAAACAACTTGTACCAGCACCACAACCATGCGCAGAAGTAAGGAGTTTTATGGAATGCTCAAAGTAGCTTCCATAATATACAAAGCCCGGCCAGACCTTTCTGAGATGTGCATTCATAGGATGCACTTCTTGGGTTCTGTGGCCAAACTACTTCGCAGTAGATTCATTGGAATGCATCAGCTAGCCGACCCAGAGACGACAACTCTTCCCACAGAAAAACGTGTCAAGCTTTCGTGGGAAGTCTAGGAACATGATTTCCCTTTACCATGTGGGGACCCTGGGTTTGTTGACGTCAGTGATGGTGACGAGGCTCGAGTTTGGTCTAAGACAAACACAAGTTGTTTGTAACTAAGCGACTCAGGTAGTCACTAGTCCTCTTGAAGAAAATGTTGACCAACAAAGGCGCGTATCAGCTTGCACCGCTGTTTCACACGTGTAAAACAGTTGGACTATCCGTCTCTCCTCCATTACAGAAAAAGGAAAGAAAAAACTTCGCCTCTGGCGAACACTCTTCTTCAGGAATCTCGCCCTGACATGACTTCAACGAAGATGGGACGAAGGCGAGGAGCTCGCGCGCGGAGCGAAAACGGAATGCATGGAGCTCTGCGCGAGCTCCCAACTCCTCAAGTTCCCAACTCCCCAAGGCTGAAATCAAACAGAGTTTGTAAAGGAAAAAGCATCTTCCCAGAACCCCTGCATCCACTTCCATGTGATCCTCAAAATCACAAGGTCCTGGGCCTTCGCGGATTAGGAAAATGCTCCACCTTGCCCCTCCCGCCGTCCCCCCTTACAGGACCGCCTCGGACGCACCGGCCATCGGGGGAGAACACGTGCCCTCTCGACCCACTGAAGGTCGGTTGAACTTCTCAAGCCGCTCGTGCCTTGGCCAAGTCTGCTTCATCTTGTTAGTCTTTATAGGTGAATTATATTATAGGTTCCACCACTCAGTCGGGTCGAACAGCAACGCACCCAGTCAAAACAGGGGCAGCTTGAGCCGAGCCCGCGCAACAGCTGATTGCGGCATGTCGGTTTCGGGATGTTCATGTTCCGGGCTGATGGTGTGTGTGATAGTCGTACTGCTCGGCCCAATGGATTTTACTGTACCCCATTTGCTCCCATCCAAAACTGCCACCAGTGATCCTCAAGTGGTGCCGTCGAGAGACCGAGATCCAAGTGAAAGGGACAAGGTTTGTCAACTAAAATTTCGCTGATTTGGGCATCATGTTTCATCCAAGTTCTTGGGATGTAAAAATATCTTGTCAAATCGTTGCTTTTGTCCCTTCTCCATTGGGTATGCCCACGCAAAGCCTGCTGTCTCTACAAGTCGCCAGCATTCTTGAAACTTGGGTTGTTCATCTAGTTGGCTGAAATCTCTTCGGGCTTTCATCGAGTTTCAGCACCGGTGGGGTTGAGGTATTTGAGGCCCCAAAAGACTCCCCTCTGAAGCTCCCGGATGGGGCCATCTGTGATGGAACAGGTGTGAATGCTTAGCACGAAATTCGTCTCATGTGAGTGGTGTTTCAACCGGTTTGTTTGAAGTACCGGTGGCCAAACCCAGATCGGTGGTTGAGAAAAAAACAAAAACAAAATCTGTGGATCTTATGGCCATGTCTGCGTATGGTACACTTCTCGGTTTGTCTCCTATGGTGAGCTCGTGCGTGTGAAGAACAGTGAGCGCTTTCCACCTAGGTGCGCGCTCCTCCTTCCGAGTGGTGGGGGTCAAATTCGTTGCCTGTCCTCGTGTTCAACCATCCATGAACCCATGAAGAGAAATCACTCCTGCCTCCTGCATATGTTTGTGAACACTCCTGCATTTGTTCTCACGGATGGCGTGATACCAATGGGTTTCAATCCTTGGTTAGATGGTGTGTACTCCACTGGGATGTCGACCACCCTCCCATCACCCAGCCTTGCCTGGCCGTGTCTCAGGACAACTGGTGGGGTTGCAGCCCCCACGATGTTTTTCATCCAGTGGAAGATCAAGCTGAAGTTTGCAGTGTTGGATTTGGAGAATGGATTGCAATGAGAAGGAAATCAAAGGAGAGGAGTAGGAGATCATCTGTTCCCCTGGGAAGTTCAGCAAAACCCTTGATGGGTTGCATTTTCGAAGAAAGTGAACAGGACGCAGGATGAGAGAGGCTGTGTGAAACTGCTAGGCTAGCAAGATCAACTGAGTTCAGCAGGCAGCAGGCCCGATGATCCAACATGGCCAGTGGATCCTGCCAGCTCTATGCAAAATTGAAAAAACAAAACATACTACATCTCGTGGCCCTCACTTTGGGACGCACATATTGAGGGGCACACGTGGTGAACCATCCTCGTGTCCGCATGATCAATTCTTGATTCATTTTTTTGCACGAGTTCGGACGTCATATGTGCGGTGTGCACAGGTCATCAAAAGAAGGATGGAGACTCTGCATGTTTGTGATGGAAAAAACAGAAACCCAAACCAAAACAGAACCAAACAAAAACAAAACCCCCCAAACCAAACCACAACACGCCGCCCCAAAACAAACTAGCAGAGTTTCCCACTGTACTCTACGGTGAAACAGGTGAAACATAAAAGAGTGTTCAACTGTCTACTCGGGCCTTGAATTCACGAAATTTGTCAGAGGTCTGCTGTTCTCATATTTGTCGCAGAAAGCATCGACGTGCGACAAGCCATACAGGCCACTCCAAGTGTGCTCAAGGAGTGCCAAAGGACAAACCTGCGCCTGCAAGGTTTGAGTTGTAAGCACACTGGCCAGTTTCGGGTGGTTGACTGTGTTTACTTGCGCTTACAGACTGTAACAGTCCTGGTCACTTTTAATTGCAATTCTGTTCAGGCCTTGGAAAACAGCCTTCATCAGGGTGCAACTATTCCATACAGTTGCACTGACTGGAGCGACTGTGGCCAGCAGTTGACAATCACAGTGTAGGACATTGCACGCGAACACGCACGAAGGCGCCCTGCGAACCTCCCTCAGCAGAGGGAGGTGACGCACACCGGTTCAGCAAGCTCCTGAGAACTAGTGGCAGCAGGAGCGTCGAAGGCGCGCGAAATGCAAAAAAGGGATGGATAGAACTGTCATTCATGGGTTGCTATCCGTAGTCATGCATGGCCCTTGTGAAACATAGTGAAACATTGAAAAACCTAGTATGGTACTGGTGTCCGCTTTGTACAAGATTGGCCGAGTACAGACTCTCGCCAGGCGAGGAGCTGAGGCTCTCACCTGGGTGCCAATCATCTACTGCTCTGCTGACGCGTGCCGAATGCCGGTCAGGAGCTGAGGCTCGCAACCAGGTTAGCTCACTTGTGGCGAAAGAGGGCAGGCATCGTTGGCCGAAGCTGATGCCTTTTGACCGTGGGTCGGTGAGCCTACGCTAACCCCGACACATAGCCCATGTCTGGAATCATGTGCAGCCACTGTGGCCACCTCATGGCTGGACAAAGTGCGACTGCATTTTCTTCAGCATACACTCCCCGCCATGTGGCTTTTTGGCCTGGTAGTTTCCTGAGCCTTTTAAATACCGTGCAGTCGAGGAATGCTCTGCTGGCAATGTAGTGCAGTGAGGGTGGGATGGGCAGCTCTGGCAATGCCGCACAGTTCATAAAAGTTTTCACATGGATTGTGTGTACCGTATATGGCAGGCGTACCTCACGAAGCCTGACACAATGCACAAAGGTAAACTCTCGAATTTCAGCTATACTGGTGTTCGAAATGTCTACCTGAGCAACTTACAACTGTCACAGGCATGGGCTCCTAGTACGTGAAAGTCACGAGGCAATTCGAGTTCTTTTAACCCCGTGGAGCAGAAGCATCCCGTCGGGAGTTCTCTATACTGCTCTTCATTCAGCAAGTCCGGGTTGTGGCCATCTTCCAGTATAGTGAAGGTAGCCAAATTGAGGCACTCAAGCTTAGTTGCACTTCCAATTTGGTTGACTCCTCCTCCGTTAGCATGTATCCACTGCAAGGAACAGCAGTCACCAAAGGCTTTGTATCCAAACTCAGTGCAGCCTGGCACTGTTATACTATTGAGTACGTGGCAACCGCGAAAGGTGTTCTCTTCAATAGGCACAACCGAGCTTGGCATCTTGACAATCCGTAGATGGCGACAACTTTGCCAGGCTTGGGCTCCAACAGCCAGCGAAGACCTCTTTTGTACTGAAAGCTTCGAAACAGTCCCGAAATACTATAGTGTACTGTACTGCATATTGTTTTGCAAAGTCTCCCAGATGGGGTCATCTAGGTAGGTTTGCTCGGTTGGATGTATGAAATCCAGTGCACACCCAAAGACGTCGAGATCAGAGGCCGAGGCCAGGTAGTCAACGACTCGCTCTTCAAATTCCTCAAATCTATCATATTGCGCAACACTGGAGGACATCTCCACTATTGTGCCAGACAAGGTCGTGAGCACTAGTTGACAGTCCATGGCTATTTCACTTGCTCCCGACGCATCGTGACTGGAGACATTTTTTTGCACGGGTCGAGGCGCTGTGTGTGCAGAGGATGCACAAGTCACCTTAGGCTAGTAATAAGAGAGATACGAACCAAGCGGCAAGCCGAAACCAGAAACAACAACCCCCAAACAAAAAAACCCAACCCACCCAAAACGAAGGCAAGGTTCGTACCTCAAGTTGGCTGCGTCAGCCAGTAGAAAAGGGTGAAACAAGGTGAAACATAGGGGCAATGTATTCAGCCTTTGCACTCAGTACTTCATCATCCGGTCATTATCCGTTTTCCACTCAAAGAGGCTGTTTGATTCGTGCACCGCTTTCGAAATCTGTTGCATCCTTCGTGCGATGACGTGAGATGACTTTTTCAGCTTTTGCAGCCGAAGCACCTTACTTCAAATGAGGCTTCATCAATCAGAACACGGTGTTGCAAGGCATGGGTAGGCAGTGCATAAGGTACCGAAAGCAAAGACAGGTCAGAACCCAAAATTCAACATCACAATTGTTGCGAGTAATTTGCCGAGTAATTTGCCGGAACAGGTTGCAAGGCACTTGCGGCTCAGGGAAAACAACTGAGTCAGCCGACGAAAACTACAAATCATCGAAAGCCAGAGACAGTGGAGCCAAGACAGACAGTGTGGTTGTGGGGTGCAAGTAGGCACCGTTCCGGCAGGACAGCATCTCCCCCCCCAGAGGGGGGAGACGGCAGCTTTGCACTTCAACTTTGCGGCGGTGACTCCAAAACAGCTATGCCACGGGAGCCACAGGAAGGCAAAGGTTGCAAAACGTCCACAGGGAGCCAAGTTGAGCTGCCGACTGGCGCAATGGCAAAAGGATGTTGAGTCTCGGTTGGCGCCATGCAGGCGTGCCACCTTTCAGTATTCTTGAAACATGCAAGCCCCATGAACTAAGTGAAACAGGGTGAAACGCCGTTATCCTATGTCCTAGTCGCTATACAGATCTGTACTCTTTGTATCCATCCAGGACCGCCACTAGGGTGAGCCTGGGCACTGTCTAGCTACTCAGTGTTGCTGGACAGAAGGTCATTTGGCATGTGCTTGTTGTTGGCAGGACCGGCACATGGGTGCTAGCCTGGACATTTAGCGAAGTTAGTGCAGGCCCTTGCCCACGCCTCACTACTGTTGCTTCGGTTCGATGGGAGGAGGTGAATCCACCTCGGTATGTCAAATTGACTGCGTTTGGCAAAGGCACTCGGCTCCGCGCATGGCCCGCTCCATGTAGTTTTGGCTTCTGGCTTGTGAAATTTGCAACGTTGTGTGCATCCTGCAAAGGCTCGTTGAGCAATATACAGCAAAGCTGGTGGGGTGTGTACCTCACGCAGCGAAGTGCATTTCAAAAAGGCTTCTCGTCCAATGCGCCGCAGCTTGTTGGCAAGACTGAGCCGCTCCAATTGCGAGCAGTGTGCAAAAG